TCTCAGTGAGACGATTCTAACAAGCTATGATACATCTTTGTACGATTATTAGATGCCAAGTTATTTAATATATTCTTTATATAACTGTAATTATAAATGGTTCTTTTTAATATAAGATTTTTGAGGATAGGTGTGATAGTGACTATAGATAGATTGTGACTATATAGGATAGTTTTTAATAATAAAGTGTTTTGAACATTCAACTGGTGTGACTATATAGTAGAATGTGACTATAACGGGAGTGACTATAGAGGGAGTTGACTGTACTAATAATACTAAAAATGGTTAATTAATGTAAATAACTAATAAAACTAAAATATATTATAAGAAATGTTTCATATTGTAATAAACTCAGCCATAATCATAGGATTTCTGCGTACTACATCATGTGACTTATTTGATCTTCAATTATTCTCATGGGTAACCCTAACAATAATCTTTAATTAATTCTATCTTAAGCAAAAATTTTGGTAACAGAGGCATACTGTAACGAATATCCGGATACGTCAGAATCTTCAGCAGACGAATAAGTTGACATGTTGCACAATTTGGAAAAGATTTTCTATTTTGGAAAAGATTTTTTTTTTTGGGAAAAAGAAAAAGATTTTTTTTTTTGGATTTTTTTTTATAGAGATTGAGATGTTATACTAGATCTAGTGACATTACGATTAAATATGGTGAGTAATACGGAGAAAAATCTATTTTAAAGGGTGGGTATTTTTGTTAGCCAGCAGATTGTGGCGCAACAAAAATCATAAAGAGAATAATTTTGGCTGCTCTTCAAGTTTACTTAGAGCGACAAAGGCGATTTTAAATATCATTATTGACTTTATTTCTTTATTTAACAAAAATTTTTCTTTCATGAAATCCATTTTTGGAAACGATCGACAAAGACGATAGAATCTATCATTTATATGTAAAGTCAAAATCGGCATTCATAACCTTCTTCCGAATCCTAATTAAACTTGCAGAGCAGGTGAAATTACATCTACAATACAAGTTTAAAATCTTTATGTAGAAGAAAAAATCCTTAATGGTGTTTTTTAAAAATTTTCTACGCCACGAACCTGGCACACATGCTTTTATAGTCAATGAGTCGGATAACTACTATAATTACACTAATTTAATCAAGATTAGTACGTTAAAATGTCATTGTTACTTTGAAAGCGAACTATTTTTAGCTTTAATAAATTTAAATTTTTTAAATTAGTCATTCATTTACTCATTTAATAAGATAATTATTCCCAGCGTAACCTGAAAAAAATGTCACGAAAAATCACGTGACATTTTTTGTCACAACCGTCACTCCCCACCGCGTTTCCATTTTCTATAAGTATCTGAGGGACTTAGTTTTTTCGAGTAGGTAAAAACATATTCGTCACTCATTATTCGTCACATGTGCGCCACACTTCAAGTTGCGTAGTCATTATGCGTAATTGGTCGCAGTCCATTATTGACAATTGCAATAATAGACCCCTATCACATAAAGAGTATTATGTTAAAAGACTGCGCATTATAAAGAAGGTAAAGAAGGTTTAGCCTTCACATACACACGATTATACTTTATACAGTAATAATACATTTAGAGCAAACTTTATTATAATTTAGTATTGAAAACTATCTCGTGTTTAAATTGGCCCAACCGGTTAAAAACTTAACTCGGGACCGCATTTAATGATAAAATCAAATAGAATAGAATAAATAATTATCTACAGAATGTTGAAAAAATAATAATATATTGTCCTTTTATCTATCTTATTTCTTATTAAAAAAAGAAAAGGATATTTGAACAAAGAATTGAAATATTAGGAAGTTCAACTTTTAAAATTTTTAATTATAAATTTTATTACTATAATTTCCCCCGCCACATTCACAATTTTTTAATTTCTCTTCTAACTCTGCGACTTTATTCTTTAACATTTCATTTTCTTTTGTCATCATATCGAGTCTTTGCGTACTTTGCACAAGCCTATGTTGCATTTCTGCATGCTCACCCTAAGAATTTGATGCAAAGTTAGCATTATTGTTGATCAAGCAATTTCTAATTATTATAATTATTGATTAAACGGGTAAAAAAAAAATTATTAATTACATCAATAGGCCCCGCCAACAATTCAAAATCTAATATTTGTTTAGAATTTGGTCTTTTGTCAGGATCCTCAGCCATCATCCATAAAATGAATGCAGCTTCTTTAGGAAACCTTTCAACAAACCCTTTCGGTAAAATTCCATTCCTCAAGTCCTTTAAAACTCTAACCCGTTCATGTCCTGTTGAAAATGGAAAATGAAGTTCAAAGAATATAATGCCTAAAGAATAAATATCAACCTTTTCATTATATGGGCAAGAGGGCTTGGCCAGTTGTTCTGGAGATGCATACTGGAAAAATAAACATATTTAAAATCAATTTAATATATACGAAAAAAAACAACAAAAAAAAAAAAAATTTTTTTATTAAATACCGTAATTGTACCCACTCCAGTGGTTCTTGATTTTGAATTATAAGATGATGAGACAGAACTACGCTGAGTACCAACGTCAAACCTCCTATTTCCGTCTATAAATTTTAAGAAGTTAGAATTTAAGACATCGTCAATAGGAGAACCGTTCTGAACTCCATCAACTGCTGTTACTAATCCAAAATCACCAATTTTAGGAACTAAACGTTCGACAGCAAATGATGAACAATCTGCAGCGACCCAACTATTTTGATTATTAGATCCGTTTTCTGGAATGATGCCCATGAAAATATTTCCCGGTTTTAAATCACGGTGGATCAAACCTTGAGAATGAATATATGCAACACCATGAATAATACCACGAAATAATTCAATACTGGCATGACGATCAATCGCATTTAATGGATCTTTCTTAGTGGCCAAAAGATTTGCGTCTCTACGTTTTAAATAATCTCGTAGACTACTATGACATAATTGCATTTGGATAAGGAGTATCCAATCACGATTCATATTCACCTGTGCAATATTTTCATCACTACTAGAGTTTTCACTTGTTTCAATATCGTAGGAATGATCATGACTTAGGGAATGTGAAGATGAGTGTAAACCTCCTACTGCAGAAATGTCATCTCCCACGAAATCGATACCACTAAAATCCTCTGATCTTTGTTCATCACTTGAAAATGACATTCTAAAAATATCTGAATCATCCTGTGAACCATCTTCACACATATTATTACTATTACTCATTGATGATTCATTAGAACTTTTTGAATTTGAATATGAAGAAACAGACATTTCTACATCTCGTTGTTTATTGTTGGTATGTTCAAGCCATGAACTATAATAACGAATCACATTTTTATGTTCCAGTCTAGCAAGAAATTTAATTTCACGAAAAATCTAAATATAATATTATTAATTTAGTAAGATTAAAAATCACTATTTCATAATTATTAGGACAATTAGAAATTATGTATTACTTTTTCCTTTTCCTCCGGAATTCTGTCACCTTGCAACCTAACTTTTTTTATCGCATATTCAATTCCATCTAATTTATTTTTGGCCTAAAATTAAATATAATATTAAATTAAACGATCTTAGATTTAGGAAAATAATGAATTACTTAGGTGCTTGCCTGCCAAACATTTGCGAACCCTCCTTTACCTAACAACTTCAATTCAATGAAATCATTACTATATCTACTATTTTGTAAGTCAAGAATATCTTCAAATGAAATATTCTTAAACATTTGTGAGTGCTTAGAAAGATTATCAGGAAATCTAGTATAATAAAAGCCAAAAAAATAAAATAAAATTAAATTAGATCCTTTTGATATTTCTAATTGTAATAATCACCTTTAAATTCTTACTCTTGAACGATATTCTCATCAGTATTTGTTGATTCTGCCGAATCCATAATCATATGAGACTTTTTCATCGATTGTTCTTGTTTTATCGAATTCAGAGCTTGAACGAGTAAATCTTTAAACGCGCGTTGGTACGACGATCGTACGGTAGACATTTCGTCAATATACTTCGGGAGTTGAGATATATTAAGTATTAAAAGGATCTCTAACTTCGATTCTATTATATATACACTTTTTTCCCTCTAACACTTTTCCACCAAGGTTTACTAACCTCTTCCTCAATAATTCCCATAGCACTTAAGGTTTTACATATGAGATAGAACGTTTTATGATTTCTTTCAGGATTCGTATCATATAATAAACAAAAATTCTCCAATAAAGAAACTAATAGCAAACGACCTATTTAAATTAAAATAAATAAATTTTAATTGAAATTCACTAATTATTTACGCGAATGATTTAAATAAAGTTAAATTACTTTGACGTCGTTTGCTTTCTAAAATACTTTCATAGTCAGGATTATAACGTGTTATTTGGGCTGGATTTGATGATGATGCTATAACAGTTTCGAGTGGATGTCGATTATTACCTAAATGAATATTAAAACGCGAATTTTTAATGATTTTTCTTTTTTTATTTTCGATTTAATAGGAAAAAGGGATGATCTAACCATCAAATTCATCATCTTTTTTAAACGTAAGAACTCCATCAAAATTATCCAAAGATCCTGGAGTTTGTGGATATTCTTTTGTATTTAAAAGTAATAATTCTTCATTAATAATCTTGTTATCATTCTTCTTTTTTTGGGCTATGAAAAAACCTGTCGTATCTTCATTCGAAGAACTTTCTTCAGAACTTGGAGTACTAGCAAAAAATTTGCTTTTGATTCTTGTTTTATTAGATACGACTCCTTTGATGTCTATGGACCGTATATTTGTAGTCATCGAGAAAATTTGGCATGTGTCATGGTACGTTTTATTCCTGAGGTTTTTTTAGGAAATGTAATATAACAATTAAATAAAATAAAAGAAGAAACGAAAAAGGAAAATCGAACTTATATTACAATTGATCTGGGTAAATACAAATTTATAAAAAAGAGAAAAAGTTAGTAAATAATAATAAAATAAATAAAAAGAAAAAAGGGAAAAAAAGAAAGGTAACTTCCGAAACAAATAAAAAGTTATCCACCTTTTTTTTTAATATATCAAATATAAAAAAAGGTTAAAGGAACCAAAAATTATTATTTTTTTTTTTATAAAAAAATTTAAGTTGACGACTTCTATAAAATAAAAATAACAGAAGCCGTTTTTTGTAAAATAATAATGGAAGTTTGAATAACTTCCGTTTTACCCCCAAAAAAATCTATTTGGTAAACTAACAAACGAGTCAAATGATTTCACATAATTTGGTGAAAGCAAGACAATGCCGCAGATACTTGTATTTATTTAGTAATTGCATTAAAATCTTGCTTTTGTTGTTTACTATTTAAAAAAAATATTTATGACGTTTTTGGAAACAAGGAATTTCTACGGTAATTTTCTTTCGTGTGATGACTGATCGCGTTTTTTAATTTTAAAATGACGAAATATAATCGAATCAAAAACCATAACCTATTTTTTGTTTTTTTGAATCTTCTAATTATATCTAATTCAACAATGCAAAATAGTTAAGCATTTAACCTTTTTGAGATTAAAATGATAAAATGATAAAATGATATTTGGCTAGTAAATTAACCATAAATATTTCGTTTCTGTTTTAAACCGATTCAATCTGATTATATACACCATACTTTTTACGCCTTATCAATCATCAGAACCGCGCCATAAATTACAAAAATTTTAAATTTTTTTTTTTTTATTTGGAAATATACAAAAACCCAATTTTATAAACCCCAAAATTTATGTACCCAAATTTTTAAACCATTCGTTTAAAATTATTTACTACAATAATAAAAAAACAAATTTTTATTATTTCAGAAATATCTAAAAAGAAAAAAAAATTATTAAATATTTTTTAATAATTAATGCTATATAAAAATACAATCTAAATAACCAATAACCAATAATAATAATAATAATAATAATGTTAGTTATTCAAATTATTTCCAAATTCATCGTTCATATTTTGTAATTTTGTGGCGTAATAATTACTGTGAAAATGAGAGAAATTTTATTTATTATGAACACACATAAATAATAATGAATTTTTTTTTTTAACAATAAAAAAAAATATTTACCTTCCAGGTACTTCTAATCTTTTTTCGGTATTCCATTCAATCATTTCATCATCACCTTGTGACAAAGATTGGGTATATATACTAAGTTCCCGACTTGTATAAATAGCACCAGGATGAATTTCATATTTAGATTCAAATATCTCATCGTTCTTTACACTTAATTCACCATAATTATCAAATAAGAATAAATCATAAGCTGAAGGACGATTAAACGGATTAGGATCCCAACATTTTCTTAATATATTAATAAAATTGTCCGGTATCTTATCAATATTTTTTTTAATTTCTGGTCTCAAACCATTGCAAATATCAAACATCAACGCTTGATCATGAGCTCGATTTGAAAATGGAGGAATTCCAGATATAAGTTCATACATTAACATTCCTAAACTGTAAATATCGGAAGCTTGAGTATACTCGTTACCTCTTAATACTTCTGGAGCAATATATGGCATAACTCCATATAAATCATCTCCATGAGGGTGATAAGGAGGTCCATATTGTCCTATATCTGCAATTACGATTTTTGATTCTCTTCCATTAAAATTATTTCTCATTAAAATATTTCCTGCATGTAAATTAAAATGAATTAAATCTCTTTTATGAATCGTTAAAAGACCATGAAGGATATCTTTTAAAATTGAAATTCTAAAAGACCAATCACATTTCGTCGAATTTTGTTTCAAGTATCGACGAATATTTCCATTTGGCATATATTCTAAAACAATTATATAATCTCGTGTTTCTGGATCTTGAGAAATCCCATAACAACGAAGAATCGTTTGTTTATGTACCGATAAAGCGGCGCATTCAACATATGCTGAAACCTTTTATAAATATACAGAAAAAAATTCGTAGTCTTGATGAATCACAATTGTAATAATTTTTGAAATTCATTTTTTGAAAATTACCTCTTCCAAAAATTTAGTACTATCTTTTGAACCTTCAAGAACTTTTAAAGCAACTTTACAAGAATCATTTCTATCCCATTTTTTACTTTTAGAATTCCAATTCCATATAGGACCATCACGCCAGTTAGCTTCATAAACTTTGGAGAAACCTCCTTGACCAATTTTTTTTATTATATCGAAACCTTCATAAGGCATCCATTGAATAAATTGATCAAAATCTTTTGCTTTCAATTGAGTTTGTTGTATGAAATAATCGATTTCCTCATTTTCTCCAGTCCAATTTTTAAAATTATTTTCAAATTCCTGTATTTGACATGAATCACACCACATGAAAGAATCGAATTTTTGTCCACAAATGCTACAATTGAACTATTAATTGATATATTTATAAACAAAAAAAAAAAAAAAGAAAAAAAGATAAAAAATTTTATATCTAGTTAGTGATTACATAAAAATTTATGATGATTAATCATCAATTAAGACATTTTAAGAAGTTTATTTAAATAAATAATAAATAATTAATAAATAAAAATTAATTATGATAATATTAGTACTTACAAAATCCATATTAATTGTAGAGAATTATTAAAAATACAGCAAGAGAGGGGGAGAAAAGGTTTTTAATATGAACACATGTAATCAAAAATGAACTAAGCTATATTTAAATTTTTGCGAGTAACACTATTCTCCCTTTCAAATACGAAAAATGATGTTAATCTTTTGTTTCGTTGTGCAAATGTACAAAAAGAAAAATGATCACAAATAATTTATTTGTAACAATGTTACCTGTTGCTGGTCATTCATGCAATTTAACTGTTGATCAACACGAAATATACTTCATATTTGAAGTGGCGTAGTAAAATTACGTCTATATAATTATGACTAATTATTATTATTATTATTATTATTTTATTATTTTATATTGTTTTTTTTTTTGGAAAAGACGCGGGTTAAAGTATATCTGATAATCTGATATGACAAAAATTACAGAAAAACTTGCTTTGTCATGTGACGCGTTCGAATTAATCGCCTTTGTTTACAATAATGGTAAAAAGAACCATGATATTGTTATATTCCATAACACAAATAACGCTAAATACCGTAACATAATAACAATCGCAGATAGATTCGAAACAATTATGAAATCAATGCTATTATTGACTAATTTTGAAAATTTCTTCGTACATCCTTGCAACCATATGGATAATCAAAAAGATTTTTTGGTTAAACCATTGTATTCTCAATCTAGTTGGCTTATTTAATCGTCATTTATCCTTCATTTAGTGACTCCCTTTCATTTTTTCCCCCGATTTGTTTTTATGAATATAAATGATTGAAGATTACACTAAAAGATTTATTTTTTGTGACACATATTGATGTATGACTCGGGCTGAACCTATATATATATATATATATGAAGCATGTAGATGAATTTCCTAAAAAAAAGACAATAACTACAAATATTATATAAATATACCCTTTTTTTTTCCCTAAAAGTGAAACATTATCTCATTATATAAACAAAACAATCCTACCGAATACTTTTTTTCCCTTTCACATTTTTTTCATTCTATCCAATTTTTTTCGCAAAAAATCTATTTATTAAATCAAAAAAATATATATATAAAATGTTTGACCCTAATATGAAACGTATTCCAGAAAGAAAATTTGAAAATGAGAAGTTGCGTACTGAAGCTCTCACACATAAATCCTTTGCGCATGAAAATCCCATGTCCGGTTACCATAATGAAAGATTAGAATTCTTAGGAGATGCTGTCATTTCATTTGTAGTTGCGGATTATTTGCATGATAGATTCAAGGACCATAAAGAAGGACAACTTTCAACGTTGAGAGCCAAATTGGTCTGTAAACAGACTTTGTCCTATTTTGCTCTACAACTTGGTCTAAATGACCATTTAAGGTTAGGTGCAGGTGCCATTTGCTCTAATGCAAGAAATAATGAAAAAACTTTAGAAGATACTTTCGAAGCTTATGTGGGTGCTGTATTTTTGGACACCGGTAAAAATTACGGTGAGGTGATGAAATTCATGGAGCCCCTATTAACCCCTAAAGTCGATCAACTTATTAAGGAAAGTCTTGCCACAACTCTCGTTACTCCCATTGATCCTAGCCGTCCTACATATGGACCTATAGACATGTCTCTGGATTTACCTCCTGAATCAGATCCAATTAATAAGCTCCAAACTTGGTCTCAAAGAAGATCTTACGGTATACCCCAATACAATGAAATAGAAAAAACCGGTTCTGGACATAATCCTCAATTTACCTTTCAAGTTGTTATTAATGGGAGACCTTATGGTACTGGAACAGCTAGGAGTAAAAAGGAAGCTAAAAGACAAGCTGCCATTAATTCACTCAAAAATATCTTGCCATCAAATAATGATGAGGATTCAAAGATGTAGATTATATAATAATTTAAGCCCTTTCTAAAGATCCTTGAGGAGTAGGGAGTTTTTTTTTTTGAGAAGTTGTCTTGGGGATATAGAATGTGAAGTTGGAATTGTGTTTAATTACAATTTTTTGTTGAATCCTTTTTAATAATTCCTTCCAAATATATATATATATATATATATTATATATATATATACAAGGTAAGGAATATTTAAACACAATATATATATGTATATATATTTGGAAGGAAATTTATTTATGAATTTGCGAAAAAATTGTAATTTGAAGTTAAGCAAAAAAAAAAAAAATTGAGATACTCTTTTTTTAATTAAAAAATTATTTTTAAAGCATATAAGCTAAAAAAATATTATGATAAGAGATTTTTTTTTACTTAAAATGTAAGAAAAGTTCAAATTAAGATTTCAATAAATTTAAGATGTTTATTTAAGAGGTTTTCATTTTATGTCTTGTTTTTCTCTGCATACTTTGCATACATAGCCTACATACACATGTGTGTATTTTATTTTTTGATTCGTATACATTATTTACTTTTAAACCAAAAAAATAAAGACAAAAAAAAAAAAAAATAGAAATGTAATTGTTCCGAGCATATTGTTATTCCGATTAATTATTATTCCGAGCATATTAAGCATTAATTATTATTCCATTTCCGAGCATATAAACCATTTCGAGTATATAAGCATCAATTATTATTCCATTTCCGAGCATATCATATAAGCATATATACATCACTAAGTATAAAAAATCAGTTATAATGATCTTTAAATCTAGATCAACATTCGATTAATAATGCGAATTTACTGCGCTGGTCTAGATTAAAAATAAAAAAAAGTTTTATTTATTCTTAAAAAAGGTTGAGAAACTAACCAAATAAAATCATACGTTTTTTTTTCTTTGTGTCGGAATGATATATAATTGTATAAGATTAAAATTTCACATTGTGAAACATTTTTATGTTGATAAGAAAAAAAAAACCTGTAAAAAACCTGTAAAGAACTTGTTCATATAATGTCGGATTTAGTAATGAATAATATTTCTTTAAAATCCAAAAAGTTATTTAATTACTCACGCGCTACTTTTACAATAAAGATTAATAACTTTTTCAATTTAAAATATGGCGTTGACAGTTAACAATGACTCACGAATCGTTTCAAACGAAAATAATATTATCATAGAATCCTCAAATAGTAATAGTAACAATTTACAAGTATCTTTAACAGATAACTTAAAGATAACGTCAAGATTTTATCAAAGAAATCTAATTAATTATTTAAGAGAATGTTTAAATTCATTAAGTGATATAATTGAAAATAATTCATTTTTTTATGATTCTCGAGCTGAAGAATTTCAAAAAGAAATTAAAAGATTAAAAAATAAAATATCAGATAGAGAAAAAAATGGGAATTTATTGAATTTAAATGTTTGTCTTATTGGTAATACTGGTTCTGGTAAGTAAAAGACATTAAAAATGAAATATTGATTTATAAAATATATATTTGATTTAACATTTTTTTTTTTTAAGGAAAATCATCACTTATAAATGCGTTAATTAATCATCAAATAATGCCAACAGATGGATCTGGCGAGTAAGTACAATTTTTTTTTTAAAAAAAAATAATAATAATAATAAATGACGCCACATAGGTGGTCTCACAAGCTGACAGACAGCCAAAGTGACACAAAAATAATTGATTTTATTTGAAATACAGAGCATGCACAACATTTCTCTGGAAGATATTTTATAATGATAATAATACGTTAGATAATGAATTTATAGCTGAAGTTTATGTTAAAAGCTTTGAAGAATATCAAGGAGAAGTCAAACGAGCATTTGAATTATTAAGTGAACCATATAATGAAAAACAAGAAATTAATTCTCAAATTTTATCAAAAAGGAGTGAGTTTATCTCGAATTTAAATAAAAGCAAATTATATGATTATTTAATTTATTATATATATTTTTTTATTTATAGATGAAGCTGAGAAATTACTTGAAACATTATTTGGTCCAAAGATGCCAAACGACAAAAATAATAAAGAAATTGAATTTGGACCAAAAAGGGTGACCAAAGAAATGGCAATGACAGATAGATTTATACAAGAACATCTTAAAATTCAAATTCATGAAATAGCTAGATCTAATGTTAAAGGTTTTGTGAAATCATTAAAAAAATTTCTTGTACCAAAAAGAAGTGATGAAAGAAGGTCATTACCTACATTTAGTGGGGATTCTAATAATATACCATATTGGCCTTTTGTTAAAGAGATTCATATTCAAGGGCCTTTTGAAGTATTGAAAAATGGTGTAGTATTGGTTGATGTGCCCGGTAATGGAGATGTTAATGAAGTTAGAAATCAAATTGCCAAAAATGTTTTAGATATTACGGATCATATTTGGATAGTTAGTGATATCAAAAGAGCTATGAGTGAAAAAAATACCACTAATATTCTTAGTGAAAGCCTTCGTGATCAGGTTATTATACTTATTTTCGAGATTAAATTATCTCTTATATATTAATTGAAATTAATATTATATAAATAGCTTAAAATGACTGGAAAATATTTATCGCGAACTTTTATTTGTACAAATTCCGATAATATAACTCTTGATGATTCCGATGATTCAGGTAAGATTTTTTAGAACAAACAATTTATTATATTTATTATATTTAAATATTAAATTTATCATGTTGTTATAACATTTAGATTTAGATGATGAATTAACAAAAGAGGAAGCAAAATTAAAAAAAGATATCAAAATTATTGAGAATGAAATTATAGAATTGAATGATGATAGTAATGTTAGAAAAAACATTTCAGTAACAAGAGAAAAAGTTAATAAATTAGAAAGAGAATCCGAAGGAAAGAAAAAACGATTGAAAGAAATTTCAATGATTTTATCAAAACAAGCAACCGCTCGCGCTGCTAATCTGCGTAACGACAATGTTAAAAAGAAAATTCTTAAATTTGAATCACAATCTCAACGTAAGTATTTTAATTTATATTGAAAAAGTTGTTTAGAAGGATTCTAATTAAATTAGATTATGAATTGAATTATAGAAAAGAATTTAGAATTCGTGGAATATGACACGAGCGCTCGTGATTTGCAAGTTTTTACTGTTAGTTCAGTAGAATATATGAAACTTAAAAACATTATGCGGAACGATGAAAGAAGGTACTTATATTTTAATTTAAATTACCATCTATTATTAATTAATTAACCATTAACGTCTCTATTTATTAGTCTTTTTCAAAGTGAAGAAGATACAGAGATTCCAAAACTGATCAATCATTTAAAAGAAATTAGCAAAATCAATATTTTAAATAAGATAGATAATATCATTAAACATATAAAAGCATTAATAGAATCAATGCTAAGATACACAGATGATAATATTTTATTAGAAACACCTGAAAAAAGAAAGCAAGCAAAAGACAAATTTATTAATGAAAGAGTCGATTTAATACATAATTATAGACATATAGTAGAAAATATTATCAAAGAATATTCAAATGAAATTGATAAATATATCATACAAAGAATGAATGTTGTTGGTAAAATTGAAGCTGAGAACAAATGTACCACTATTGTTACTAATTATGGGGTAGGTAGATTCTTGAAATACTTGGGGGGAAAGAAAATATCAATGACTAAAAAATCAATTTCTTCGTATTGCTATTAGAATTATCTTCATCATAAAATTTGGAAAGCTACTGTAAAAAGAAATGGATATTATATTGATAGTAACGGTGTACTTCACAATTTCAATGAAGTAAGTAACAATTTTGGATTTCCTTTTTACCTAATAATTCTAATTACTTTTACCTTTTATATAGGATTTGTTATACCCAATTGTAAAATCTGTAACAAATAACTGGTTTATAGTATTTAGTGAAATGCCAAAGAGATTAGTAGAACGACTTGAAACTCAAGTTGATGAAGTAATAATAAATTGTTTCAATGCTATTGATGAAGAAATTTTAGAAATATCACCAAATAAAAAAAAATATATCGAAAAATTTCAAGCTGAAATTAAGGAAAACAAAGAATTGAATATGAATACTGTTAAAGAAAAGATCTTGAGTAAAATCAAAGAAGTACAAAATGAATTACAAAATGAATTACAGAATTCCATGAAAGAATCTATGAAAGATGCATATTCAAGTAAGTAAATTATTAAATATTTCTTTATTTTTTAAAAAATGCTTAGCTGTAATAATGTTTTTGTTATTTATAGATGCTATATTAGAATCTGATTGGCAATCAATGAAATCAAATTTAAGTAATTATGTTGCAACCAATAAATCGAAAATATTTGAAGATACTATAAATGGATTTAAGGAACAAATTTTGATATCAATTGATAATATACAAGAATATATTATTGGTACTGTATTTATTACATTAAATGAAAATATTGAAAGTGATTATGCATGTTTTTGGGAGATTAGTAGACAATCTAATGTTATATCAGAAAGAAAGAATAATTTTATTACATTTGTTGATGAAATTGTTGGTAAATTAAATTTAATTCAACAAAATTTAAAAGAACAATTATCAAAAAAGGAAAAGAATAGTGAAGAAGTTGCTTTCGTTAAAGGAAAATCAAAGAGACAAGAAGTGAAAGTAGAAAATTATTGAGACCTATGCCCAGATAATCAACATTTTATGTGGATCACAGGACCACAACCTTGTTATACAAACAAACGAATGCCCATATATATTTTACAATGAGTGTTTGTTTCACATAAAGAAGGAAAGTAACTGAAACAAAGGGTATTATTTGTTATATTATTAGAAATGGTAATATGGTATTAGTCGTAAAGTATATCGGAAATAACTTTTTCTTTTTCCTTGTGAGAAGTCACATAGTTGTTTATAATAAGATAAATAGTCTAGTATTGTTTCCCACTTTAAGTTCATAGTTAAGCAAATCATTCTAAGAATGACTCTAATGATTGAGTTATGGTTGCTAAAAATCATTGTCTGAACTTTTTGATATCGATCACAAAATTACGTCACGATCGATGATATAATTACTTAGTACTTAGTGTTATACCTTTTTTCTTTGTCTATATATTAAATAAAATTCGTCTTTATCTAGACATTTACGTACATCAAATGTTTGCAAACTATACTGCGGTCAATGGGGTTCAACGGGTTCGCCGTCCGCATTCGTATAAAATCCATATAACTCTATTTATGGATAAAAAAATTTACTGCGGTGTTACGACAAAAATTGTATTTTTTTAGTAATTTACAATATATATATATATATTATATACATAATATTAACTTGATATGTAAAAATTTTAAAATTCATTATATGGAATAAAAAGGAACGAATGATAATAATACACTGCGATAATTTTCTTTTTTTTTCGCGTTTATACTTACGTATTTCACATTCATATACATGGTTATTACGGACATGCTAATCCGATAAGTCTTTTTTTTTTTTTTTTCATTATGCTAATAAAATACTGTTATTTCTATATTACAAATAATTTACTTTTTGAATTTCTTTTTTCTTTTTATTAACATTTCATCTTTCTGATGTAGTGTCACATTGATAGATTTTCTTTTAAGACTATTTAAAAAAGTTTATTCAAAGATTACACGACATTTACGGCATTTTAATTTGAAATTTTTTTACACGAACTAACAAACTGCATATTAAAATATGCAACATTGAAAAAAAAAACAAATGTATACCTTACTTTTTTGTAAAACTATTCAAAAATGTGGTGATATTATGTGAGATATAATAATATAATAACAAAAAATTTTTTTTTTTTCTTTGTTAATTTTTTTTTTTTATTGTTTTTTTTTATGATTAAATGTTACTTAATATTATATTAATACACATGTATAAGTACAAAATTTAGTTCGGAAAAAAGAACGTTTAAAATATATATGCAAGTAAGATATACAATAAATAAATATACGTTATGAAAGAAATTTTGAACCAATTGTAATGCATGTACGTTACTCTAAGTTAACAAATTTACAATGTAATTAAAGAAATTGAGAAATTGAAATAATAATATACAAATGTGAGGATGAATTTTTTTTTTTTTAATGGCTATATCTAAGTAAGATTTCCTTTAGTTTTAGTATAAGCAACAACAACATAAGCTACTAGAGTTGTAATGATTAATAAATTAAATAAACATCTATTAGCCCATTTCAATCTTTCAGTATTAAATTTATTATTATTATTATTATTATTATTTGCATTTTCTTCATTTGTGTTCGTTCCTTGTTCTTGATCAAGAGTTTTATATTCATCACCAAGAAAAATGTAAAAAGCGCCAATTAACCATAATGGCCATATTATAAAACCGTAAACATAAAATTTTTTTGTTATAGGCCAATATCCCTGTGGTAATATTGGAGCTTCTAAATTAATTAATGATTCGATATATGCACCTTCTCTTGAAAGTCCGGCTCTTTGTGAAGAAGATTCATCCAAATCATTTTGATCGGATGGATATATTGGTGGCATATCTCTTATTACTATTGAGTAAGTAGGTAAGTATTCAGTTGGAGATGTTGTTGGTGAAGTAGTTGTAGTACGGATACGAGTGAATGCTCTTTGTGGTATTGTTGGAAATCTTACATCTCGGGATGAATTTTCTGAAGAATGATCCGTCATAATTGTATTGGATGATACTTGACGGATTTCTTCTTCTTGTGTTAATGGTGGTGGTGTACTAGTGATTGAAATTTGATTCGGATTTTGAATGTTTGATGATGCCATTGATTTATTTTTTAATTAAATATTTAATAAAAAAGAGGGGGAAAATTAAAGAGATGGATTGAACGGAACGGTTGAAGTAGATACAGGAATGTAGTGTATTTATATAAAAATGAAATTTTTTTGTGTTATAAAATATCGGAAAAATGTAAAATAATAAAATAGGATATGATAATGCAGATTGAGATAACAATAATTTATTGTTTTCGTTATAACAATGAAAATAATGGAATTTGTGTTTTAAACAACGAGGAAAATAGGGAAAAAAAAAAAAAAGTTTTTTTAAAATTTCAAATATCAATAAAAAAGGTTTTTCCCCGTCTCACCCTTATATTAAATGTTCCACTATTAGAACTTTAGAATTCCTTTTTTTAAAAAAAAAAATTAATAATGGAAATTGCTCTTTATAAAAAAAAATGTGATAGTCGGATGTTTTCAATTTTAATTATGTAATTGATATAAAAAAAATGTTACAATGCGCTTTGATTTGATCCTTTGATTCTCTTTGAATATATTTTTCGTTGTTCTATTATTTATTGGGTAAAAATTGATTGGATATAGGAATTAAATATTATTTAATGCAATGAAATATTATTGGGTAAAAGATTGAAGATTTCCAAAATAATTCAAAACAAGTTCCTCGTGGTTGATTGAGATTTTTTGATGGGCTAAAAATTCTTCTTCTTTTAGTCCTCCTTTCTTTTTTTTTTGAGGGGGAGGAGAGAGAGAGACCGTAATTAAATTAATAATATATAATAATGTGTGTGGATATGAACACATATATTTTTTAACGGATAGACTTTTTTTTAAAGAAAGTTTTTTATCCGTTAAAGAAACTTCGAAAAAGATTTTTTTTTAAAAAGAAAATTTTTTTTTTAATCGAAGTTTTTTTCGATTTTTTCGGGCAGATTAAAAAAAACAAAGTAATACTTATATTTATATATAATGATTTAGTAATAAGTTAATTATTTTAAAAAAAGAACAAAATGTGTGGTACCGTATTGGGGAATAATGAAAAAAAAAAAATATATATATACATTATTTATTGGACCAAATATACATATATATATATAATATAAAATATATATATATTTTTTTTTTGTTTCAAACATGATAATAAATTATAATATGTCAATGATACATTTATAATATTTACTTATTTATAATAAAACAAAGAAAATGCCCTTGTTCTTGTTACTTTGTGATACTCCGTTGTGTTGTGTTTGATTAGATAATTAAATCTTTTATGAAAATCACAATTACTGCGGCAAAAAAAAAGATTCGGAAGAAAAAGTCTCGAACTTTGAATTGATAAATAAATAAATAAATAAATAATAATTAAATATGAATAAATTAAAAGGAGAAATTTATAATCTATATTTATAATCTATCTATATATGCTTGAATGTAAAAATGTAAATGGTAAATAATAATTAAGTCATAAAATGAAAGAAGAGTGGTTATAAAGTTGATCTTTAAAGCATTCGATAAATATTTACTTATTTACTTATTTATATGTTATTTATATGTTATATATATATTATATATATTATAATTTATTAAATTCTTCTCATCATTTTCAATTATGGTAAACTGATCAAAGATGCATAAATAAATTTCTTAATTGATTTGGGTTAAATGGACACTTTTTCTTATAATTTCAATCATAAAATTAGAATTAAACATTTTGTATTCCACGTTGATTAAATCTAAAAATAATAATATCCTCATTAATAAATTATTTTAAAACAAAGACATGATTTTTTAACAAATAGAAATTAAAGTAGTATGAATAAAGCTAATAAAGTTTTAAAGTTTTTAGAACAAAGAAAATCAAATGATGGATTAAAAGTCCGATTATTTTGATCATTCTAAACAAAAACAATGATAGATTGATTTTACACGTTAACAAATAAAATTTTGTATCATGTTCGCGATTTTTTCACTAACTTTTTTTTTAAGCATTGCATATATTTTATCTTACATTTATTTAATTACGCGTTCATGCGTAAAATTTATAATATGATTAGTTATTTTTTTTTATATTAATGACATATATTGTAAAATATATACATCAAAAATGATGAAAGGGGTCAAAAAAGTTCAATGTTCTATTTTATGATATCGATTCAATTATTATTATTTATAATTAATTTAACTTGAAATTATTTATTTATTTATTTATTATTATTATTTTTAACGCATGTTAACTGTTTTCTTTCAAATCAATCTCTTATTATCCTTTAAAGATAAAGAATTGACAATTGAATACTAATTATTTCAATATTACATGTTTTTTGAAAAAGATATGTAGTGTTCATATTGTAAAAATCATGAATAAAAATAGATAAACCGGTAAAAAAGATAAAATAAATTAAATTAAAATTAAAAAAAAAATAAATAAATTTTATCTTTGTGAAGAGGGGATGATAATTTTTATGACATACATAACATGTTGCATAAATTGCGTGATAATTTGATCAAAATAAAATTTTAACAAAAAATTTAATTGATCAAAAGTTGAAGATCTTTGAAGTAACCTAATTTATACATACATTAAACAAAGAAAATACAAGTTACCAGGCATTTAATAATTAAATTGCTCCAAGTGCCCCAAAAAATAAATTTTTTGTTTCACATACGTAATACAAAAATAATAATTAGTTACAAAATAATATTAATTACAAGGTAAACTTTGTTATATTACGGATATATTTAGAATCATCAACTCCTATTCATCCCGGGAATCTTAATATTTTTTTTCCGAGAACCTGGTATTATTTGTAATTAATTGGTTAAATTCTCCTGTTGGGTGCTTTTTTTTTTTTAGGTTTAAAAATTACAAAATTCCAAAATTTCTAACAAGTAATATCTATTCAAATTGGTCCATTGTTTTTAAATATAGATTGATTTTTTTAACAAAAGTAGAAGCATAAATTATAAATATTTATAGATAAAACGCGCATCTTATCATTATTCCTCGCGGGGAAGAAATCTACTTTTCCGAAAATTGTTTAATTAAAGGATTGATTGGCAAATCGTTATATGATCATTTTATTTATAGAAAAATACATTTCCGAAAAATCGAAAAATCGTCCATTTAGAAGGAAGAATAAATTTATTTGATCTATTGAAAAATCCATCAATAATAATTATGAAGACCAATTAGACCAATTAACTGTTAAATTACGCGCGTAATTTACATCATTTCTAATAGAAATTATAAAACAGAACACCAATTGTTTTTAAGATAGATTCGTCTATTTATTTTGTCCTTTTCTATACATATCTCTAAAAAGTTATACAGTATAATCGTATTTATTCTACAAAAAAAAAAAAAAAAAAAAAAAAAAATTAAATAAAATAAAATAAATAAAATGTTTGTTTAGAATAGATCATTTCAAATCTATTCTTTATATTTTTTTATATAATAATATAATACAAAAATAATATACTGAATTGAAATAAATCCTTTTCTTTTTGAAAAAAAAATAATTTCGCGTTATAAAATAAAATAAAAATATATATATAAAAAAAAAATAAAATAAAATAAAATAAAGTATTCTACATTGAAAAGAAAAAAATATATATATACATTATATTATATATATGTATATTTTTAATACTGTATTATTCTAACACAATTATCTAAGTCATAAGTCATAACTAAAAAAGATTTGTTAACTTTTTATTATGCTGCTAAATAAGTCTTTGGTGAAAAGTCTATTAAAGAGAAATCGGTCATGGAGAAGAAAGAGGATCATTATACAAAGGATGTGGTAATTCTTTCATTTTGTCTTGTGGCTTTAGAATTGAAGGGGAATTTTGTATTGGTGTACTCAATGGTGAATTATTCCTAGAATTTGTATCACTTCCTCCTAAACTCACATTTGCACCTAAGCTATTAGTTCTTGAAGCTGAGTTTGAACTGTCACTGCTATTATTATCACTACCAAAATTTAGTCCTAATCCTAATCCACTTGGATTTATACTTGTATTTGTTGCTAACATTAATGATTTTTCTAATTCATTTAATCCATTTACTACATTCAATCCATTTATTTTTGACTTGGATGATGGTGACCCACCCCCACCATCATTACCATTCGTTAAAAATGAAATTGGACTTGATTGTTTTTCTTGTTTTTCATAAATTGGAGTACTACTACCTGAATTTGTATATAAATATGGTGATGTAGGTGGTGTAGTTCTTATACCCAAAGAAGGTAATGACGAGTTACGATTACTTTCTTTTCTTGATGTTAAAAATGGTACTGGAAAATATCTCCCATTGGAATTACTTGATGTTACAATACCATTATTGACTTCAGCCATTTCATTATCATTATTTCCATTACTTCCAAATGATACCATTTCCCTTAATTTCGGAGTTCCCGGAGTACTTGGTGTACTAGATCTGTTATTATAATCACTTTCTACTAATTCTTCTTTAGGTGTAGTAATTTCACTATCCTCATTGCTATTCTTGATGGATGGACTATTACTGTCTAAATCTAAATTGATTCTGTTAACTACATTTGTAGCTACATTTGATACATTTGAATACACATTTTTAATTGTAGTTTTAGCAAAGTAGGCAACCATATCTTGTACGTTTGATTCCTTATCTTCTTCAAAAAAGGATATTTCCTTTTTATTATTGACATAATCATTATTACTCCATGGATCAAGTCTTGCATCAAGATCAGTCGTGGTTTTTCCAATAGGTGAAGATACTGATATCTCTGACATAGTTGGTGTGTTATTCCAAATTCCATTACCATTATTGTTTGTGTTTCCTCCAATTTCCATAACTCCAAGCGGATCCGTCATAATACTTGGTGTCTCTGATTTTGGTGATGAATTATCTGATCTCCATCTTGATTTTTCTTCAGTTATTTCATCTTTATTTCCATTTAATTCTTCATCCTCTCTTTTAAATAATTTTGCCCAATATTTAAGATTTTTCGTGTCAGGATATAATACTCCCATGTCTTCTTTCGAAGTTTTATCTTCTTCCTCTCCACAATATAGTGGGTTTAAATATAATTCTCTGTCGCTATTAAAATAATCCCACACACTATAAGTCTTTTCAGTGACATGATTTTCTTTTCTTTCTTTTTCACTATTTAATAAAAATGTACCAAATTGACATGAGTAACAATGGTAATGTAATCCTACCAAAAAATCCTCATTGAATTCAAACCGTGTTGGATTTTGATGAAATAATTGATAAACACAATCTAGGAATTGATGAAAAACTGGCGATATTTCACGAACATGTGATTGTTTGTAAAATTTACTTTGTACCGAATTAAATGCCGATCCCGCAGCATTCGTGTTTGACATATTAATGAAATACCTTTCATTCGATAGATGTCCTGATCGATCACTAAATTTGTGACCAAATGATACCCATTCTTTTTCAACTAGCACTTGAAATCCACGGAAAGTACGATAATATGGGTCCAAACATAATTCTGAAATCGAAGTTAATTGTGCTGTTCGATCCCATCCATCTGAACAATGGATAAGTACATGCGAAGCATTGACATTAACAGTTTTAATAATTACATGTGCTGAAACTAATAAGGTACTAATATGTTTAAGCCAATTAGATTTATCTAATTGATACTTCTTAATAGGCAATCCTTGTGAATCTGCTATCTGCAAGGCTAAATAATATTTTTTTTTTTTAATAAGAAAAAAAAAAAAAATAATTACTATTATATTTAATAATAATACTTACTATCTACCATTTTAGCCAAACTTTCTCTCATTACATGGATATTATCAATACCCATGAACTTCCTTTCACAATTCTTATAGTATTCCGTATTTTCTGATCCAGCTCCCATTGCTGTATTGGCCATTGCATTCGCTGTTGGCCGTGCATCAATAATCAAATTATGAGGAGTCGATCCATAAACAGGCCTTCCGTTAGGTAAAACGGTTAAATTAGATTCAAAGATAGCTTGAATAAGTTTCTCATCTTGTATTGAACGTTTTTTTTGAATTCCGACCATCGGCTGACTAGATCGCGTTATTGTAGCCTAAAAATCATACTAATAAATAAAAATCTATAAACGAAATCAACGTATTATAATTACATACCTTATTATGGTGATGAAAATAACTTAATGTTGGTATGCGAGATTTACTTCGAAATTTAGCAGCATGATTCAGAACATTATCACTAATTTTGTAAGGGACAATCAACATGTACGGATAAGTAGGACATATCTAAAAATAAAATAATAATAATCGTTAAAATGACTTATTTTAGAATTAAATGAATAAATAAAAAATTTGCATACCATATAGTTTTCGTTTATAGACGAAAATCTCCATGCACTTGATTTGGAAAAAACACCCATTCGAGTAAATTCTTTGCGTGTATCATAGACTTCCCATCCATCTTTGCATCTGAATTCCTTCTCTGGCTTATAATAAAACGCATAAAGCTGACTAATAGAGCCTTTTCCCCATAAAATAATATAATAGTAATTTTGATTGTTGAAATGATTCGAATATGGTAACGAATAATTAACGAGAAAAAAATAATAGAAATCGGAAAAAGCCTCAGTTTTTCCAACTTAAATATTAACGCATTGTATAATTAAGATATATATATAACATAAACGTACTGATACAAGTTAACTTTTGTATGGTATCAAAAACATCGATCGCTTCTTTTTCTACTGGTACCGATATCGTAACAAAGATAAAATTGCGACATTTTATGAGTAGAGGCCAGTATCTTGGTTCTGAAGTTGGCGGACGACGTTCAACAGTATGAATAATTGGATATGAAATCTATCAAGAAGAAATGATCAATATTTGAAATTTAATTTATTATTATTTATGATCTACTGCGCCTTAGGTAATTTGTTGAATTTTGTTGTAATTATTTCAATTGGTTTAATTATTGAATAAAGCAAAAGTATCACATACCCATAATTCTTCTTTATTGTCTGAATATTTGAAAATCATTTGGTGTGTTGTCAAATGAAGTGTACCCACAACCACTTCTCCCGATTTTTCAAGTTGTACATTTTCGACCTATACCATTCGCCACATAATGTATTTATCAAAAATAACATCATCAAACCCATATGCGATTAGTAAAAGTAAGAATTTTTCACGTAAAGGTCTCCTTCTAGTTTAAGTTCCTGTATGATGGCGAACCTTTGTAATCTTAAGGAAATCCATGTTGGTCGTATTAAACGGAGGTTGTTTATGTCGACCAATCGCTTTGTGAACTAACTTTCTAAAGTTGAGGTGCTTCAACTTGACCGAATTTTTTAAATAAAATGGGATTTTTTTTTCCAATGATTACTGAGTAATATTGTTATTACAGTTTCTACTATAAAGGAGGCTTTCATCCAACCAAAAAAGTAAAGAGTTAAGCCCAACACAGTCAAAAGGTAGTACACGAATTACGCAAATATTTATCTTTTGTTTAAGTGCGGATAATTTTTGCTGAATCTAGAAATTATAAACATTTCACCCAAACTTTATTTATCTATTGTTCCATTCCACCGAAATAAATTCATCCATTCAAAAGGTCATAAATTGAATTTTTTTTTTCTTTAAATTTATCGAAATTTACCGAAATTTACTTCGAGAAAAAACTTCAGTATGAATTTTAAACTAGAAGATCTTTATAAATTGAAATCTGACGGAACTTTTTTGTTTAGGGATATTTCGTTTTCTCTGAAAAAAGGTGATATCCTAACCATTTCTGGGCCAAGTGGTGTTGGGTAGGTTTATGGACGATTTTTAATTATAGTTGTATAGTATTTTACTAGTTTTGATTCCTAAAATAATACTGGTAAAAATTCTTTTAATTAAAGGAAGACAACATTACTAAAATGTATTGCGCAATTGACCTTATATGAGGGAGGTAGCATTTATTTGAATGATAGGTAAGTGAATTAAATGCTTAAATAGATTTATTCATGTTTATCGTGATTGATCCAATTTTATTGAAATAATAGGACTCCGGAAGAATACGGGATTCCCGTTTGGAGAACTCGTGTTATGTATGTTCCACAGAGAACTCGTATGTATTCTCTTCAACTTTCAAATTCGAATTGAATAAATAATTAAAATTTGTTATGTTATTAGCCATAATGCCAGGTACTCCGATGGAATTTTATAACAAAATGTCAGATTTTGGCGCGCAAAGAACGATTTATCACAATGATCCTGTAAATTATTTTCATATCTATTCAGTTTACTTGTTTCTCGCTCAATTTATATTAATCATTTTTTTTTTCTTATTAAAATTTTAAACAGATCGAAATTTCTCAAAGGTGAGCTGAATCTTAAATTAGGATTTATGATATTTACGTGTTATTCTTATTAATTTTTAAATTTCTTTAGATGGGGTATCAGTGAAGAATTGTGGGACAAACCATGGAATCATTTATCAGGAGGGGAGATTCAACGTGTTTCGCTAGCAATCGCTATATCTTGTAATCCAGACGTACTACTCCTTGATGGTAGATATTAAAATATTCAAAATTTCGAAATAAAACTTCTTGCTAAAAAACTTTCTCCTCTCATAGAACCTACCTCTGCTCTTGATCCAAATACTACTTTATTAGTTGAAGAAACGCTTAAAGAACACACTTGTATAATAGTGACACATAGCCCAGAACAAGAAACCCGTATCTCAACAAAAACTTATAAATTGAATCATTATTATGAAAATCGACATGCGTTAGTGCTAATAGATTAACACTCATGTATGCTTAAAAGAAAAAAGATAATAAACAGATATTCTAAAGTTATAGGCCTTTTCCATTCATCAAGAACTTGGAAAGAAAGTTAATTTACCGAAATATATATATATATATATAGTGAAATTTATCAGGTAATAATTATTGTTTGAAAGTTATTTTGATTTTTTATTATTTTGTTAATTTATATTATAACCTGTATATCTAAATTTCAATTAATTAATGATATAGTTTATCAACCAATTCCTGATGGTCAAATGATATTTGTCATCATTTATTTTAGAATTATTTTTTTTATAATAAAATTGTGATCATTTACATTTAAATTAAATTTAAATCCATTTTAAGTTCTATGAAGCAATCAATATTTTGGAGAAATTAAAAATAATTTATAATGTACCGGTTTTTAACGAATCCCTGCAATATTTTCATACAAACTAAACGCGCTGATTACATGCATTCTTCAATAAATATTTCCCGCGCATCTTTTTTAGATACTATTAAGAGGTCTGTAATTTGTTCTCGTTCATTGTTTTTTTTTGAAATCATCACGTTGCATAAGTGCCTACTAAATAGAGTTAGATCATTATAAAAAAACATAATATAATCACAATTGATTACATCATGCTGCACACAACTAGCCCAAATGCTTCAGCCCCGGTTATTTATTAATTTGAATTTTTAACACCAAGTGATAGTTCGAAAGTTTTATCCGATTTTTTCTTGGCGTATATCGAAGGATCCATTGGTCTGGATCGCAAAAATTCTGGTATAAATTATCCTAAATTGGAATATTATACAATGGTGAAATGTCATGACGCAGTAAGATTTTATCCATCTAATTGAATTATACAAAATAGGTAATTAAATAAGGAGATTCATAATAGACTTTTAAAAAAATGTTCATTCAAATAATTTTCTCGAATGTGCGATGTTAATGTGTTACTTTATTTGTAAAACCTTTATCAAAATTTTCGAAAATTCATTTTAGAATCGATAGCAGGTTATCACATTCAAATGCAGCACGCGAATTATAATGTCTTATAGTGCTTAGTAAAATGTTTATAATTCGACGGAATTAATTGTTTCATTCATTATGTGGCGGTGTCTTGATTTATACTCCGAATGTCATATGACCGTATGACCTAACGTATATTATAGGTTTTTGACGTTGGTACGACCAGTACCTTTTTTATTAATAAATATGTAGTTAATAAATAGTTAATAGGCTCTCACCAAATATAGATAAATGCCAAGAAATCGGTCAGTTCTAAAGAAGATGCCAAGACTTGGTGTTACTATGAACTTAATGTTTTGTGTCGCGAGATTTTCTTCAAAAAGTTGGTGCGCGATTCCCATATAGGTATTAAAAAAATTAAAAAGAATCGACCCCTATAACTAAATTTTCTTTTTTTAAAAAAAAATTCTTGAATTGGTATTTTTTAAACCTCTTTTTTTTATTTCCCGTTCAAATTTCAAAATATTATAATTTTTATTATGAGTTAAAGAAAATCGATGTTCCTGATCGCGCCTTATTCATTGTATTGTTAAATAAACAATTGAATCAAATCATTCATTTTTTCGATTATAAGTAAGAACTTAATATAAATAAATCTGATTTTTATTTTTTTTTATCTTTTATCCAATTTTTAAAATATTCTTTTATAATGTAAGTTTTTTTCTCGTTTTATATTTTAAGAACCATAAAATTATTTTGTTAATTCTCATTTTCTCTTCAGCTCAAACCATGCGTATAATACCAATTCCCATTTTCGAGAACAATTACTCTTACCTCATCGTTGATGACAAAGCAAATGAGGGTTTGTATTCTTATATAAATTTTGTTTATATTAGTAAAAATGGACAACTAAGACAACTTTTTTTTTTATCACTTTAGCCGCCGCGGTAGACCCAGCAGAACCTCAAAAGGTCTTAGCTGTTCTCGCTCAAACGGGCGCGAAATTAACTTCGATATTGACGACACATCATCATCAGTAAGTAATTTTCGTTGATTAATCTAATCTTTAAACATGATGATTTAAAAACTAAATAACATATAATTTTTAAAACAAAAAGAAAACACTCTGTAGGGAATATTGAATTAGTTTTAACGAAACCAAACCTCGCCGTGTACGGGGCCGACGCTCGGATTCCCGGTAAACATCAATTAATTTCTTAAAATTTAATATAATTTATTATTTTTTTTTTACTCAATAATTGTTATTAAATCTTGTTAGAGCTTAACTACGTCTGTAAACACAACGAGGAATTTACAGTACGTATTATGATCAACTCGATCAAATCTTGTTTATTTTTTTTTGGGTGTAAAATTATCTAACCAATCACGTGATTTTTAGGTGGGCACCCTAAAAGTTCGATCATTTCATACACCGTCACACACGAAAGGTAGCGTGTGCTATTATGTTCGAGATGGTAATGAAATGAACGAGGAATTAGAAAAGGCCATATTTACTGGAGATACATTATTAACTGGTAAGCAAAGAAGTAAAGTAATTATAACTCATTAAATTTTTTTTTTATTTAGATATTGAATTTTATTTATTTCATTTTTATAGGTGGATGTGGTAAATTCATCGAAGGGGATGCCAAAGACATGTATAATGTACTCTATAATATATTGGGTCAATTACCCAGAGATACTAAAGTTTATTGTGGACATGAATGCGCTCTGAATAACCTTCAGGTAAATAGCATTCTTCACCCACGATGTCATATAACAATGTCTTATATAAATGAAAAAAAACGTTACTAATTTTAATTATAATTTTGATAATATTGATTATTTCAGTTTGCAAATACAATAGATCCAAATAATCAATATATACGCGTAAGTGTTTAGTAAAATATTATTGTTAATTAATTGAATTTTAAACTTATAATTATCTTATATATTTTAGAAACAATTGGCATATTCACAAATGAATCAGGTCACCGTGCCTAGTATACTTGAAGATGAGTTTAAATATAACCCATATTTAAGGCTTTCGTATGTTGATACATAAATAGATTTTTTTTTATCTTAAATTGTAAAAAGAAAAAATTAATAATAATTCTTATGACTTCATAGAGAGATTTCCATCCAACAAGCTACAAACGTAACAGATCCATATGAAGTAATGCATGTACTACGAGTTTTGAACGATAATTTCAACAACCAAAGTAATGGAATAAACGGACTAAGTAATGGCGTGAACGGAGTGAACGGAATAAATGGAGTCAGTAACGGAGTTAATGGGGTCAGCAACGGAGTAAATGGAATGAACGGAATGAATGGAATCAACGGGATTACAGGTATGATACTATAAACTTTTTTATATTACATTTAATATATAAAGATATGTCCGGGATGGGGGTTGGGATAATATTGATTTACGTTTTTTTTAAATTATCATGGGTTGATCTTTATATATTTTTTTTTTTCTTTTTTTTTTTTTATAATATAAATTTACAGTTCTTTAATTGTAAAAAAAAATTTTTAAATTCTTAGAAATTTTCGATTCATATTTAAAGATGAATATATATAGTGCGGATGATTTAAATACATTAAATACGATAATTCGAAGGAAAGGATGAAGGAGAAAAAAGAAAAAAAAAAAAAAAAGAATAAAATCAATATAGGAAATATTATAATACATTTATGGTAACCTATCGTAAAAAAGAAAAAAAATCCATGGTTAAATTACTGTATGTGCAAATTGTTTATCGATTTGTGTTACCAGAATGTTGGAATGTTTTAAATGCCGATCCTTGAACGCCATAATATCCGTAATAATACAATATAATACGATCGGGTTAAATACGGATTCTACGTGTTTTAGAAAGGATTATGGGTTTAATAGAATTAATAGAATTTAAATTTTCCATATTAAAACTGGCTAATCTTATGCATTACAGAATGAGCATATAATCTGGTTAATATATATTTGGTTTTGCCTGATTTTGAGATTTTAACCGATTTTTAACCCGTGCATAACCCGTGTCCGACTCTTAAAAATACTCCATCCTTTTTTTTTTTAAAATACTCTTTTTTTTTTCTTTTTTTTTAAAAAAAAGAAAAGGATGAAGAAGGGATCGCCACATGCTCATTATGCTCATTCATTATTGACTTCGAAAATGTATTAAATAAGTTTTTTCATAATATAATAATATATGTATGATTGATTGATTAATCAAAGACGCGATGTTACATTTTTTCTTTCAAAATTTTACGGTCAATACTGTTTAAATTATGCACTTAATTATTTATATATTTACATTTTGTATTACATTTTTATTATAATTTCTCATTAGGACAAAAAAATTTAAAAAAATTCGGTATTTTTAAATTAATTCGGTTGGTTTGTAATTTGATAAATGATAAATTTTTGGTAATTCGGTATAGAATTAAAAAATAAACATGTGCATTTAATTGTACTCCAAACAGGAGATCCATAAAAAAAAGATTTCGAAAAAAGTTTTTTCTTTGAACCCATTAAAAAAAAAACATGTATATATTGAAAATGATATTTTATTGGTTCAAAGAAAAAAAAGAAAATACAAACAAATATAAATTCATTTTTATCATCTATTAATGGGAATTTCGGATTTTTATAGATTTTTCGATTTTTTGAAAAATTGAAAATTGAACATGTGATTTTCTTAATTCCATCAGCTTTAATTCTAGAAAAAAAAAAGCTTTAATTCTTTTTAATTCTGGAAAAAAAAAATCGAAATAATTCATAAGAAATTTCATTTTTTTAATCGTAAAAAAAAATAAAAAAAATAAAAAAATAAATAAATATTTTTACGGGTCTCCCGGGTAGTTGAAGCATTGTTCTTACGTGATATTCTTTTTAAATTTTGGACAACATTACCAACATCATTGTTATTAATATTATCAAATATTACAGAACGAAGCAGTTTTCACGTGTTAGTCTTTTTAAAATTTTGGGCATTCTGGGCAACATTAGAAACATTATTGTTATTAATATTATACAGATACTACAGAACGAAACATTGTAGTCTTTTTAAATTCTGGGCATTCTGGGCAACATTCTTTGCATAAACATGTTCCACTTATCAAATTTCGAAATATTGGTCGATAATAACTCGATATGGTTTTAAAATGCTGAATCCTGTACAACCGATCGAGAATATGTTAAGAAGACCAGTAATAATTGAATATCTGATATTATCAAATATTATACAATATTATACAGATATTACAGATATTACAGAACGAAGCATTATAGTCTTTTTAATATTATTACAGATAGCTCAGAACGAAACATTGTAGATTCTGGGCATTCTGGGCATTCTGGACAACATTAGCAACATTCTTTGCATAAACATGTTCCACTTACCAAATTTCGAAATATTGGTTGATATGGTGTTAAAAATGCTGAATCCTGCACAACTGATCAAGAATATATTAAGATACAACAGCTTGAACCTAGAAGACCAGTAGTAATTGAATATTATCAAATATTATACAAATATTACAAATATTACAGAACGAAGCATTATAGTCTTTTTAAATTCGGGGCAACATTAGGTTATTAACATTTATAACATTTATATCAAATATTATATACAGTATAATAATAATGCATAATAGATACTACTTCAAAACAATTCAAAAATCAATTCATTATAATTTTGTTTTTTAAAAAAAATTCATTTTATTTTTCGTATTCTGTATTAAGATTGCTGCTGCAAGGGAAATAATAAAAAAAAAACCGAACATAAAACTTAAGAAATCTTATGAAAATATAAAATCTTAATGT